ACCCAGAGAGTGGTGGTGGATGGGGCTTTTTCGACCGGGAGGGATGTGGGCAGCGGGGTCCCCCAGGGCTCGGTCCTCGGACCTGTGCTGTTCAACATCTTCATCAGTGACTTGGACGAGGGGGTGAAAAGCACCTTGTCCAAATTCGCAGATGACACTAAGATGTGGGGAGAAGTAGGCATGCTGGAGGAGAGGGACAGGCTGCAACTAGATCTAGACAGGTTATGGGGGTGGGCAGATGAGAACAGGATGGGTTTCAACACTGACAAGTGCCGGGTACTGCACCTGGGGAGGAGGAACCAGCAGCATACCTACAGGCTGCGAAACTCCCTTCTCGTCAGTGCAGAGGCAGAAAAGGATCTTGGAGTCATTATCGATTCTAAGATGAACATGGGCCGACAGTGTGGGGATGAGGTCTGGAAGGATAACTGCACCTTGTCATGCATCCACAGATGCATCACGAACAGGTCCAAGGAGGTGACCTTCCTCCTCTATGCGACGCTGGCCAGGCTGCAGTTGGAGTACTGCGTCCAGTTCTGGGCGCCGCACTTCAGGAGGGATGTGGCCAGCATGGAGAGGGTCCAGAGGAGGGCCACCCGCCTGATCAGGGGGCAGCAGGGCAGGTCCTACAAGGAAAGGTTAAAGGCCCTGAACCTGTTTAGCCTCCACAAGAGAAGGCTGAGAGGGGATCTGGCGGCCATCTACAAACTGGCCAAGGGGGACCAGCAGACAATGGGAGAGTCCCTGTTCCCCCGAGTCCTACCGGGGGTAACAAGGAACAATGGCCGTAAGTTGACTGAGAGTAGATTCAGGCTAGATATCAGGAGGTGATACTTCACTGTCAGGGTGGCTAGGAGCTGGAACCAACTTCCAAGAGAAGTGGTACTCGCCCCTACCCTGGGGGTCTTCAAAAGGAGGCTAATCACCTAGCCAGGGTCGTTTGACCTCAGCATCCTTTCCTGCCCATGGCAGGGGGTCAGAATTGATGATCTCCTTAGGTCCCTTCTGACCCTGCCTACTATGAAACTATAAGCTTTCACACTGTGACCAGAAAGCTTTTACTGAAGTCTCCTGAGGCGAGACAACCTTTCAAAGTGGCTGCACTGACCAAGCAATTCCCCATTTATACACTATGCTGACACCAAGATCCTCTCCCCAGCTGCTCTGGAATCCATTCCCATGACCCCACATCCATCGTTTCAATAGATGAACCAGGCAACCTTTATACTTCGGCAACTTCGGAGCAGAGTGAAGACAGCCATGTGTTCCCTAGAGCAGCCCTCCTCTCGAGCAACAAATTCACTGCTCTCCCACTAAGCACTGGCAACTGGTCCAGCTAAATGGAGAACTGCCACTAAGGACCCCTGAATCTCAAGACGCACAATTTCTCCTAACCAAGACCACAGGGATTTATGGTCTGACTTGAACACAAACCTCCTTCCATATGAAGAGGGTGAAAAAAATTTTCCAAGTTAGGCACTACCCAGAATTATTCTGGGGCGATACAATCCTCTCTGTCTGCTGTAATTAGGCCCTACCCTTTCCTAGCATTTGTGTGCTTGTCCCAAGATCGTCCTCAAACCCATAAGTGCTCACATCTCACTTCTGTGCCCTGAAGCACAAGGATGCCAACACAGGTACAGTCACAAGTCTCTCCCTCAACTTTAAAAAGGCTAACTTATACTTTGCTGAGACTAAAATCATTCCTCTCTCACCCAGCCCAGGCAGTGCTATTTTGCTTCCCTCCCCACACTGGCTGACTGCACCCAAGCTCAAATCACCTCCTTTGGAAATGATTTGTGTTTCTCTGATTTCAGTTTCAGGTTGACAGCATGGAGGGTTTCCCAGGGCACTTGTAACCAAATCAGTTCTTGTTCAGTGCCCCAGGACAACATGTGGGCACAGTGCACATGTTGAGACAGACATGCCAAGCAATGCTCTCTCCATTAGCCTCTCAAACATGGCTGGGGAGCTGCCCAAACTGAAAGTTACCTCTGGAAATTGCCATACACCTAGTCCTGATGTAGAAGCAGCCTCTCTCCTGACCTTTGGATCTACTTCCATTTGCCAGCATCCACTCTTAAGACTTCCAGTGCAAAACCAGTCTGTACCACCCTTTCCTTCTGGTCCCCCGTCCCCCTCCCCATATCCACATGTAATGTCTTGTCTCACTTTAATGGAAACCTTTCTGGGGCAGGGACCATTTTTTTGTCCTTTGTTTATACAGCAAGTGGCACAAAGGCCATGACTAGGGCTCCTAGATATACAGCAACACAAATTATTATAGTGATGATAAACAGCCTGCTACAGAAGCCAGCACAGAAGCTATCGGTGTGCTAGATAATTACATACCCTAAACTAACTTCAGTTAATTTTCTGTAGTCTACACAAACTCTGGCAGCACTGTGGTGCTGGTGGTTTTTCAACCAGAACCGGAGGCCCAAGCACCGGTTGAAGACTCAGTCGCTCTTCCCCAATACACTTCCTCAATGCCTTCTTGCTCCTTTGCAGACAAGGTTTTTGGGTTGAATCTGATATCTTTTATTAGACCAACTTCAATAGTTGGAAAACAACTTTTAAGCAAGCTTTTGGGTTCAAAAACCCTTTGTCCGGCTAAGGAAGTTTCAGCAGTTGGTGCGTGCTCTTCCCGGATGGAATCAAAAATACTCCTTTGCTACAGAATGACTCTTTAATAGGTTTCCCTGCAGCATCAAGCCTTCAGGGACCAGCACAGCACCTTCTGATGCTTATCTGTGTGCCTCTCTCAGATCATTCAGCCTCCTCATTTAAGCATACAGCTCTATGCCCCAACAAATCCATTTGAAGCTCCAGGAGTTCACCTAATCCGTCTTCTCCTTTGTAATTTTCTTTCACTTACTAGAACCACACTGTATGGGCTGTGGTTGCCTTCCCTATTATTTGTTTG